CTCCCGCAAAAGCAAGAAAAAAAAATTGTTCTAAAATCCATGCTTGTCTTTCATTGTTCGAGAATCAGAAGTGGAGACTTTTTGGAAGAGAGCGGGGGGCAGCCTCTCCCATTTTCTTGTTGTAGGGAAGGGAACGTATTCTAAATTTCACCTCCGAATTTTTTTTGTTTTTTGTATTTCATTATTCGAAAAATCCGAGGAGAAGAGAGAAGTTTGTTATTATTCTAAATTCTAAGTCCTTCAAATTTTTTGTTTTTTGTATTTCGTTATTCGAAAAATCAAGGGAGAAGAGAGAAGGGATTTTAGTTTAAATTCCACCCTCCTGAAATCTTGTTTTGTTTTTTTGTTTTTCATTGTTCGAAAATCAGAGGTGTGGAGACTTTTTACGACGCAATCACGTACAGTAGCATGTTTTTGGCTTGAATATGTTTTTTTGTTGTGGCACGGGCTCGGCCAAGAACCCCATGTCTTGTAGCGGGAGGCTAGGGGAAGCGGCTTCGGCCTGCGAGTACCTGACGCCTCCCATCTCGAGTGCGTGTGGCAAGGGGCTAAGCCGAAAACCCCATGTTTTCTAGTGGAGGCTAGGGAGGCTGCAAGGGGGGGCTTCAAGGGGGGATCAGAGGAAGCTGCAAAGGGAGGTTTCAAGGGGGGCTTGAAAGGGGGGTTTGAGACGCGGGCGTAAACGGCGCGAAAAAGGCCCAGGTACTAGGCCTCTTAAACTGCTCCCGGAAACCCGTACAGGGAGCAGTTTAAGAGGCCTCATAACTGGGCCTGCTTCGCAAAGGTTTCAGGAAGCAGTTCAAGAGGCCTAATAACTGGGCCTTCTTCGCGAGGTTCCAGGGAGCAGTTTAAGAGGCCTAATAGCTGGGCCTGCTTCGCAGGGGTTTCAGGGAACAGTTTAAGAGGCCTAATAACTGGGCCTTCTTCGCGAGGTTCCAGGGAGCAGTTTAAGAGGCCTAATAACTGGGCCTGCTTCGCAGGGGTTTCAGGGAGCAGTTTAAGAGGCCTAATAACTGGGCCTCCTTCGCGACGTTTCGGCAGCAGTTTGAGAGGCCCACTAACTGGGCCTTCTTCGCGAGGTTCCAGGGAGCAGTTCAAGCGGCCTAATAACTGGGCTTGCTTCGCACGGGTTGCAGGGAGCAGTTTACGAGGCCGAGCACCTGGGCCTTCTTCGCGACGTTTAGGCTCGCGTCTCAAACCTCCCCTTCAGGCCCTCCTTGAAGCCTCCCTGTGAAGCTTCCCTTGAAGCCCCCCCTTCAAGCCCCCCTTGAAGCCCCCCTTGAAGCCCCCCTTCAAGCCCCCCTTGAAGCCCCCCTTGAAGCCCCCCTTGAAGCCCCCCTTGAAGCCCCCCTTCAAGCCCCCCTTCAAGCCCCCCCCTTCAAGCCCCCCTTCAAGCCCCCCTTCAAGCCTTCGACCCTTCGCCTCCCCCCCCTCCCCCCTTCACCCCCCCCCCCTTCAAGCCCCCTTCAAGGGTCCGACCCTTCAGCCCCCCTTCAAGGGGGGCTTCAAGCCCCCCTTCAAGCCCCCCTTCGTACGAAGGGGGCGGGCCCAGCCCCGAGCCATCGTGCGATTGTCTTGCTGCGTTGGCCCGTCGTTCTCTTCGGCTTTCGGGTTTCCTTCTAATCGTGCAACTGTGCGCCAACAGTCTGTGGCACTTGTGCGTGTTGCCTCTGTTGCCTTACAGTCCGGGCCCGTACAGCTTGAGTTGGGGAGATTTGTGTTTCCAGTGGCACGCGCCAGGCTGCTTGACCGTCTGCGCTTCAACGTGGCAATCTTTGCGGCTGCCTGCCAGTGGTGCCTTAAGGGCTGCCTTCGCACTGGCGAAACCAACCCACAACGAGCTGCGTGACGAAGTCGTCCACTTCAGCATGGCAACAGCAGAGCCATCGTGCGACTGTCTTGCTGCGTTCGCCCGTCCTTCTTGCAAACTTTGCGGGCTCTCTGCCTTCCAGTGGTGCCTTAAGGGCTGCCTTCGCACTGGCGAAGCCAACCCACAAAGCAAGCTGCGCGACAAAGTGTCCAGTTCAGCCTGGCAATGGCGCCCGTCGCCCTCTTCGGGGTTTTCTTTTGAACGTGCAGCTGTGCACCAGCAGTGTGTGGCGCTTGTGAGTGTTGCCTTTGTTGCCTCACAGTCCAGCCCCGCGCAGCTTGAGTTGGGGAGATTTGTGTTCCCTGTGGCGCGCGTCAGGCTGCGTGATCTTCTCCTTGTTGATATGGTTGTTGAGACACTCGTGAAGCTGCCTGCAACGCAACCCGGTCTTTGTGGGCTCCGGGCTACCGTGCACAGCCAGCCCAGCCAAAGAGGACCCATCGCGCAAGCGTGGGACCGCGTCGGACCATCGTTTGATTCGACAAATGCCGGCCCTGGTCGGCCCTGGTCTCATGATTTCTGAACACGCAGCTTCGCATCAACACTGGGTAGTCCCAATAAGGTTTCCAGAGTTACTGCGCGATCCTAAGGTGCCTTCCCTAAGGCTGCCAGTGTGCCCAAAGAATCAAACCGGGAAAGCAGCGTCGCAAATTTCCCCGCCCGGTGTCCGCAGACCCGCGCCCACAGCGCCCTACATTCTCATTCTCGCAGGAGCAGCCGGTGTGCAACGCCTTCTGGCGCTGGGCCAGGGCACGGATCTGCCGTGTCTGCCTCCAGTCTGAAGCTCGAAATCCCACTCCATTTCTCTCAGAAAACCGACACCCAAACCCCATGAAGCTCGGACACGTACGCCCCTACACGATGGAGACTGGTTGGGCAACTCCCAGCCTGAGGCAGTCCTGCTTGTAGTCAGAATCGGAATCATGACACTTGCAAACGAGAAAAGAAGTTAAGAACATGATGCTTCCCAGATGAAGGTTCAGGGAACTAGGCCAAAGGGTCTGCAGAGTTTTCGAAAGCCAAGATTGGCCGAGATTGAGCCATGTATGTGGGATGCCCTGCCTCGGCTCGTGCATCTAAGGGTGTTACAAAGAGCGACTCGACGAGGCCTGTTTAACCCCCCCCCCCAGCCCACCCCCTAATGACCAAGCCACCCCCCCAACAAAGGGCCACTTTTGGCATAATGTAGGCCTAGGAGTCCAGGCTCTCATATGAAAAGGGTGAGTTACGCATCCTGGTCGAGTCCTTGTGATCCGCCGCGAAGTGCTCGGCTTGTGGACGGCAAGCGGCACACACGTATGCACGGCTGATGTTGTCTGGGAGCGCCCCGGCAGGAAAGCCGAAGGGCTGCGCGTGCTCGGAGCAGAAGCGCTGGTTGCGCAGAAGGCACTCCTGCGGCAACCGGACATTCCCCCAAACCTCTGCGGGCCCAAACCCAAACCCCCAAAGCAAACGCCGTAAACCTCCACAGCACCCTAAACGTCAAGACCTCAACCCCAAAACCACCGAAGCTTCTAGGAGGACCCCCTAAGCCCCCCGCCTGCAGAAAGGCCGGAGTCTGCAGAAAGCGGTTGAAGCCATCCTCTGCCTGGCAAGGGCTTAGGGTTGTTTAGGGCTTAGTGCGATAGCCGAAGGGATGAACAGGCTTTAGGGTGTAGGGTGTAGGGTTTAGGGTTTAGGGTTAGGGCTTTGAAGGTTTTACTACTTTAGGATTTAAACTGCACTTACTCGGCTGAAGCTCCGGAAGCTCAGGGAGCCCGAAATCCTTCAAATGCAAAAGCCGCCTTCTCGCAAGCTGGGCACTCCCTCCTCTTGGGACAGTTCATGGATGAGGTGTAGTCCTTGTCTTTCAGGGTTTAGGCTTTAGGGTTTAGGGTTTAGGGTTTAGGGTTTAGGGTTTAGGGTTTAGGGGTTAGGGGTTAGGGGTTAGGGTTTAGGGTTTAGGGTTTAGGGTTTAGGGTTTAGGGTTTAGGGTTTAGGGTTTAGGGTTTAGGGTTTAGGAGGCTCCATGGGCTTCTTGAAGTTGAAGGCTTTTGGAGAGTTTCAAAGGTGAGCGGTTGCTTCGCTCCAAAATTCTCAAGGGCCGGCCCTAGGTAGCGCGGAAGAGTGCAGAGGGTCTGGGAGTCTGGGGTTTAGGGGTTTAGGGTTTAGGGTTTAGGGTTTAGGGTTTAGGGTTTAGGGTTTAGGGTTTAGGGTTTAGGGTTTAGGGTTTAGGGTTTAGGGTTAGGGCTTTGGTAAGGCTTGAGAGGTATGAGATTCCTTTTAGCAGTGTGTGCACATGTCCCCAGAAAACTAACACTGAACCCTCACACACATCCAAAACTCCGAATCCAGAACTCTATACCACCACCACGGCTGTTGCGTGCCACAGTAGGTGGAATTGCAATCGGATCTCCTAACATCCACACATGTGCATTTCCCAAAACAGCGGTACCCCTCATATACCCAAAATACGATGATAACCCTTACTAGAGGAACCCTGATTCACTTGGACCTCATCGGCTTTTCGGGTCTAGGGTTGAAAAGGGTTCAGCATTTCGGGTCTAGGGGATCGTTGGTTCAGGATTGGGGGTTTAGGAGTTCCTCGAAACTCCCACTGCCCGCCCGGACAGCGCTCCCAAGTTCAGAGCTTGGGGCTCTGAGGGCGTGAAAGGGGTGTTGAGGTTCCCCCGTCTGCACGTGTTCGCACGCGTCCCCCCCCCCCCCCCCGGGCGGGGGGGGGGGGGGTTTGGCGAATGAACAGCTTTGGCGATTTCAGGGCTTCACGGCTCATTGGGGCTTCAGGGCTCTAGGCTTCGAGGGTGTTCAGGAGTTAGTCAAACATCCCGCCGCCTGAACAGCACAGGTAAGCCAAGTTCAGGGAAAGGAAAGGCCGCAGGCTCCTATGCTGACGCTGCTTAAGTTCATGAAGCGCGGACGCGCTGCAGCTTCCTTGTCCTCGGTGAACGTTTCCGTGACGTCTGCCTGCCAAGGGTTCCATGCTGCGAGCCAAATTCCCATGAAGGACAGACCCCGCCTCAGCATCCTCGATAAGACAGACGCGAGGTCCCACGCACAGTCTGCCTCAATGCCGAAGTGGTCGGTGTCGTTGAGGTGCTTGGGCAGGAACACAGCTGCGCACGCAAATGCTTCAGCCTTGTCCATCAAATTCCGCTGGACTGGCAGCACCTCGGGGAACTTGGGCCATCTTACGACATAGCCATCCACAACCCGAAAACCCCAAAAAAAACCCAACAAAAAAACCCAAACCAGACTGCATCCGAGGCGCGGCTGTTCTCATTGCCATCATGTTGACTTCCAGTGCGAGGAGCTGCCAGTGATAAGGAGCTCTGTTCTTGAGCAAGGCCTTCGGCTCCATTTCTGCGTCACCAGTCCAGTGGGGTACATTTAGGGTGTCCAGCGCCATGATCCCCCTGACCGCAAAGCCAGTGGACTCCAGCCTCTGGGCTACGTCGTGCGCCATCAAGCCGCCGTGGCTGTGACCTACCAGCACCAGGTCCAGAACCTGCATTGTTTGGTTCCGTGCAGCTTGCCAGGTTGGCAGGTGAAGAATGGCCCGGCAAAACAGCACACTTGGCATCTGCCCGAACATCAGCATCTCCTCAACAGGCTCGATTCCCAAGCAGTTTGTCGCAACGGCCTTCACCAGATTCGTTGCTTTGTCCACGACCCGCGCTGCCATCATCAATCGCGCCCAGAAACGACGAAGTTCTGCATTGAGCCCTGGCATGTCCCCCCGCGAGAGACACACATACTGTACAAGCCTGCCTGCCCAGATTTGGCAGTGTGAATTCAGGGAATTCAGGGACATTCATCGGGGAGAAACTCCCGTACTTGGCGAATCAGGGCCCTGAAGTTACCATGCCAGTGAGTGCAAGGCCATGCCAATGAAGTTTCAGCTTCGTCTGTGGATTGGACTTGAGTACTTCTCTTGGGCAGATGGCATCGAGCAGTCAAATGAACTCAGGAATGTGACGCGGCTTCCACTGCCAGTTGTGAAGTCTGCCGGGCACCTGGCACCAGCACCTGGATTCGTGCTTTCTGTAGTCAGATGAGCTTAGGCGGCCTCAGCCTTTGCTCGCTTCATGCCGAACTTCATCCTTCCGATGTTGGGAAGGCCCGGCGCAGCTTTTTTTTGTTGCAGCCTCGACCTGTGGGATGAAACAGCTGGGCACGCGGCTGCTGCACCATCATAGTCGAGATGCGAAGCAGAGGAATTCAGAGGGCTGCACTGACCCCACAGCAATCCAGCAATCTTTGCAAACGACCCAAGTCTGGGACCCCAAGCCATCAAGTGGAAATAGCAGATCCGCAGGCCCGCCGCCTCAGTGTTTGCTCCGAATGCCGTGGCTACGCCTTCCGAGAGCCGCTGCGTGCACGGTACCGGGGCCCAGCGGATGGCAAGTCTTGCGAGGCATTCTCCCGTCGGATTGGGGTCGGATTTGGGGCCTGAGGCCGTGCGGGCTGCCCGGGCGGCTTTCTTCTCCGCATGCCTGGCAGCTACGACGCCACGCCTTGGAATCTATGGTCCTGCGGCGACGCTGGAGGAAGCACTGGATTGCGCGGGCTGCAACTTGGGCTGCACATTCCGGCAAAGTGTGGGAAGGCGATAAAAAGCCAAAACTTTACACTCCGTCTGAAAGACACTGTGGGTTGTTCCAAAAGGAGTATTAAAGGAGCCCTGCAACATTCCAGCTTGCCTGCGTAGTGAGCTGACTTACTTTTCTGCCAAGGCAATCCTTACATCCTTGTCGCCCCAAAAGCTTGTATCCAAAAGCCCAAGCCCGAGCCACGACACGACATCAAAACCCCAAACTGGGTGACGGATATATGGAGAACGTGGGAAGTCCTGCTGGGGTTTCTGCGCAGACAATTGCAAGGTTCTGGGGCTCAAAATCATTACTGCCTGGCGCCTTATGCGTGTGAGTGTGACTGCGAAAAATGCTTGCACACAAGTCTAAAACCGAAGACGAGCGTGCTGGGAGGTGAAGATTGTGGCAAGACGTAAAGACACCCCCCGACCCCACGCAAGCCCGCCTCCCCAACCCTGTCAAGGCTTTCTTATCCGCAGAATCCCAGGCCCAAACCCTCAACCCTCCAAGCTCGTAAACTTTATGGGGCCGTACCCCACTCGATATGAAATGTTCTCTGACTGTAGTTTGCAGAAGAATGGCAATGCCCATCCAACCCTAAACCCATTTTTGGGATTTTCTTAGCCTAAACCCTAAACCCTAAACTCTAAACCCTAAACCCTAGACTCCAAACCCCAAATCCTACTTGGATTGTTCGGTGCTCTACAAGGCCGTAACCCCTAAACCCTAAACCCTTACTACGGTTTAGGGTTTGCGGTTTCGGGCTTAGGGATTAGCTCAACAGCAGCCCTAACCCAAATTCGCTCCCCCCCCCCCCCCCCCAACTCAACCCTCAACCCTCAACCCTCAACCCTTCACCCTCAACCCCTCAACCCCTCAACCCCTCAACCCTCAACCCTAAACCCTAAACCCTAAACCCTAAAACCTAAAACCTAAAACCCTACAACCCCAAAACCCAAAAACCCCGAAGCCCGATATAGGGTTTAGGGTTTAGGGCTTAGGGTTTAGGATTTAGAGTTTAGGCAAACTCGTCAACACCTGCAGGCCTAAGCGCTCGCACAGTTTTGAGAGCCTGAGGCCTGGCAGCAAGCCAGGGTCACTTCTTTGCAGCAGCGACGGTGTGAGAAAACAGGCCCTCCGAACCCTAGAAGCCTAAAAGCCCACACGCCCCTCTAAAAGCCCTCACTAGTAGGATTCGCTCTTTGACGTACTAAACCCTAAACCCTAAACCCTAAACCCCAAACCCCAAACCCTAAACCCTAAACCCTAAACTCTAAACCCGCACAGCTAGTTGGGCAGAATTTTGACCCCATGGCACGCGCCAGGCTGCTTGACCGTCTGCTCTTTATCGTGGCAATCTTTGCGGGCTCTCTGCCTTCCAGTGGTGCCTTGAGGGCTACCTTCGCACTGGCGAAGCCAACCCACAAAACGAGGTATGGGTTTCCTTCTGGACGTGCAGATATTCTCCTCGACCAAAATCCTCAATGCCAAGACCCTCAATCCATGCGGTTCTTGAAGGTTTCTCAAGCAGGTTTATAGACATAGATCTAGTCTGCCGGACTTATACCCCTACTTAAAGCTGCCCATGAACCTTCAAGTAGGCAACCCTTGACCCTAAACCTTGAACCCCATCCCTAAACCCCAAAAACCCTAAACCCTAAACCCTGGCCTAAGTACCTTAAGGTTCCCACGTATAATTGCCCGTGCCAGAAGGAACCTCAGACCTGAACCGCTTCAGGCATTGGTTCTCTGCGGAGGATTCAGCAGCCTCGGCGGCTCCTGCACTCTGCGGCAGTGGTGAGCATGCAACCTCCGCTCGACGTTAACGTAAGATCGTGTCACGCCATAATTTCGCTGAGGCAGCAAGGCTCGCTGACATCACTAGTGGGGCACCCTGAAGAGTGGAAACGTTGTCCTTTGCTGCCTCAGCACGCCGTCAAGACTTCCAAGACAAACTGAAGGCGCGGAGAAATGCTGCCATTCGTGCAAACTACTGCAAGCTTGCAAGTCTCGCCGCTTGCCGTGTAGTGCAGTTGCCAAGACACGTGAGCAAGCTGTATGCTTTGATCAAGCCGCAGCGCCCGAGCTTAGCTCGAGTTTTTGGTTTACAGAGTTTGTTTTGCGGTGCGCTGCCATGGCAGAGCTTCCGAAGCAGTGTGACTCTACCATGGAGTTGATCACCAGCAACATCCTTGCCCGGAAGCTGCGCTTGCAACCAAGTATCGCAAGAGTTCACCGGCAAGAGCCGAGAAGCTTCGCATCGCGCCCTGCTGGCGTGGGCAACGCTATCGTCATGGTGCAACAAATGTCTTGCCGGGCTTTCCCGTCGCCCTTTTCGGCTTGTGGCTTTTTTGCATCGGGACGTGCAGCTGTGCCCCAACCGTCTGTGGCACTGGTGGGTGTTGCCTCCGTTGCCTCACAGTCCAGGCCCGCACAGCTTGAGGTGGGAAGAATTGTAGACCCTGTGGTGTGTACCAGGCTGCTTTATGCTGGCTTTCAGGACACATCATGTGTCTGCCTGAACACATCAGCCTTCGCGAATTCTCTGCTTTCCAACGGTGCCTTGAAGGTTCTTCTTGCACTGGCGAGGCCAGCCCACACGATGAGCAGCGTGACACAGTCGTCCAGCCAGGCTGGCAACGGCACAGCCTTCGTGCAAGTGTCTTGTTGCGTTCGCCCGTCGTTCTCTTCGGCTTATGGGTTTCCTGTTGAACGTGCAGCTGTGCACCAACAGTTTGTGGCACTTGTGCGTGTTGCCTCTCTTGAGTTTGGCAGAATTGTAAACCCTGTGCCACGCGCCAGGCTGCTTGATCGTCTGCTCTTTGACATGCCAATCTTTGCGGGTTCTCGGCCTTCCAATGGTGCCTTGAGGGCTACCTTCGCACTGGCGAAGCCAACCCACAAAACTATGGGTTTCCTTCTGGACGTGCAGCTGTGCACCAACAGTGTGTGGCGCTTGTGAGTGTTGCCTCTGTTGCCTCACGGTCCAGCCCCGCACAGCTAGATGGGCAGAATTTTGACCCCATGGCACGCGCCAGGCTGCTTGACCGTCTGCTCTTTGACATGACAAGCTTGACAGGCTCTCTGCCTTCTCCCTGTCTTGTTGCGTTCGCCCGGCGCCCTTTTCGGTTATGGTGTCCTTCTGAATGTGCAGCTTTGCACCAGTGTGTGGCACTTGTTCGTGTTGCCTCTGTTGCCTCACAGTCCAGCCTTGCACAGCTTGACTTGGGCAGAATTGTAAACCCTGTGCCACGCGCCAGGCTGCTTGATCGTCTGCTCTTTGACATGCCAATCTTTGCGGGTTCTCGGCCTTCCAATGGTGCCTTGAGGGCTACCTTCGCACTGGCGAAGCCAACCCACAAAACGAGGTATGGGTTTCCTTCTGGACGTGCAGCTGTGCACCAACAGTGTGTGGCGCTTGTGAGTGTTGCCTCTGTTGCCTCACGGTCCAGCCCCGCACAGCTAGATGGGCAGAATTTTGACCCCATGGCACGCGCCAGGCTGCTTGACCGTCTGCTCTTTGACATGACAAGCTTGACAGGCTCTCTGCCTTCTCCCTGTCTTGTTGCGTTCGCCCGGCGCCCTTTTCGGTTCTGGTGTCCTTCTGAATGTGCAGCTTTGCACCAGTGTGTGGCACTTGTTCGTGTTGCCTCTGTTGCCTCACAGTCCAGCCTTGCACAGCTTGACTTGGGCAGAATTGTAAACCCTGTGCCACGCGCCAGCCTGCTTGAACGTCTGCTCTTTGACATGCCAATCTTTGCGGGTTCTCGGCCTTCCAATGGTGCCTTGAGGGCTACCTTCGCGCTGGCGAAGCCAACCCACAAAAGTTTCTAAACTCTGAACCCTGAACCCTAAACCCTGAACCCTGAACCCTAAACCCTAAACCCTAAACCCTAATTCCTAAACCCCCGTCGTAAGCCCATTTTGTATCCTGGGCTTTCGTGCAAACCCGACCAAACGAGACCGAGTCCTGCTTAGCCCTCAACCCTAAACAGCACCTGAAAGCCTTAAGAACCCTAAAATGCAGCGACCCAGCAGCTGCAGGGTTTTAAGGTTTGAAAATACATGGGTTTGGGGTGAAGGGCTTGGGCCCTTGGGGTTGGGGGCCCTGGTTGACACCGATGGGATGTCCCAGAAGTGACCATGAAGGTTCCCCAAGTGTGACATAAAAAGCAGGGTTCCTGTAATACGGATGAGTGTTTTTTGGGCTCGAGTAAGGGGGTGCGCCGATTTCGAGAAATGCCCACGTTGCCCGAAGCCCTCCAGGCCCTCAAGGCCCTCAACCCTAAACCCTCAACCCTAAACCCTAAACCCTTAACCCTCAAACCCTAAACCCTAAACCCTAAACCCTCAACCCCAAACCCTTAACCCTCAAACCCTAAGACCCTAAAACACGAAACCCACCCTGCCTCCGACGGCGGAAGGCTCCCACCGCAGGGTTAAAGGAACCCAAAGGAAGGGTGACTATCTTTTAGGGGGGGTCTAGGGTTTAGGGTTTAGCGTTTAGGGGTTCGGGGTTTAGACTTTCGAGGGTTTAGGATCTCTGGGGCTTAGGGTTGGGGGTGTGTATGGCTTCGGGTGTAGGGATTAAAGTAGAAGGGGGGTACGGCAACGCGTAGAATGGGGCACATGTGATTTTCCTACAAGGGCCTCGTCAGACCTTTTGTTGAGTTTCTGGAACATGCAGGGCTTCCATCAGGGTCCATATGTTGGTTGCTTGTGTAGCATGGTCTGTGAGAGGAGTCGTACGCACGGCAGGTCTAATCTCGGGGCACGCGATTGAGTCAACCGTTTTAGGGCCGAATTTTGGCCGAGCCAGAAACCACCCTCCCAGAACCACAGCTTGAACCAACTCTGCGTGGGGCGCGAATGCTGCCTGCTCATAGGCATGTCATGCGTAATGTATGTCATCCGGCAGCCAGTGCAGAATGAATCAACCACCTTGTCAAACAGAAGGGATGCTGCTTGCTTCTGCTTGTGTTGGGTAAGGGCTCGAGGTACTTAGACCATCTCTCTCTTGTTGCGTTCGCCCGGCGCCCTTTTCGGTTATGGGTGTCCTTCTGAATGTGCAGCTTTGCACCAACAGTGTGTGGCGCTTGTGAGTGTTGCGTCTGTTGCCTCACAGTCCAGCCTTGCACAGCTTGAGTGTGGCAGAATTGTAGGTGTGGCACGCGCCAGGCTGCTTGACCGTCTGCTCTTTATCGTGGCAATCTTTGCGGGCTCTCTGCCTTCCAGTGGTGCCTTGAGGGCTACCTTCGCACTGGCGAAGCCCACCCGCAAAACGAGGTGCGTGACAAGTTCGTTGAGTTCAGCCTGGCGATGGCAAGAATCTGAGCCGTCCCCCCCTAAACCCAAGAAGCGAAAGCTTGACCCCCCCCTTTTCCTGTCTTGTTGCGTTCGCCCATCGTTTTTTTGGGCTTATGGGTTTCCTTCTGGACGTGCAGCTGTGCACCAACGGTGTGTGGCGCTTGTGAGTGTTGCGTCTGTTGCCTCACAGTCCAGCCCTGCGCAGCTTGAGTGGGGCAGAATTGTAGGTGTGGCACGCGCCAGGCTGCTTGACCGTCTGCTCTTTATCGTGGCAATCTTTGCGGGCTCTCTGCCTTCCAGTGGTGCCTTAGGGGTTGCCTTCGCACTTGCGAAACCAACCCACAAAGCAAGCTGCGTGACAAAGTGTCCAGTTCAGCCTGGCGATGGCATCGCCTGTGGCCCTCTTCAGCTGATTGGGTTTCCTTTTGAACGTGCATCTGTGCACCGTGCCTTCGGGGCTACCGTGCACAGCCAGCCCAGCCAAAGGGGACCCATCGCGCAAGCGTGGGGCCGTGTTCGACCATCGTTTGATTCGACAAATGCCGGCCCTGGTCTCATGATTTCCGAACACGCAGCTTCGCATCAACACTCGATAGTCCCAATGAGGTTTCCAGAGTTACTGCGCGATCCTGGGGTCCCTTCCCTACGTCATTCCAAGCTACCAGTGTGCCCAAAGAATCAAACCGGGGGAGTATCGTCGCAAATTTCCCTGCCCGGTGTCCGCAGACCCTCACCTACAGCGCCTTACATTCTCATTCTCGCAGGAGCAGCGCGGGTCGTGGACAAAGCAACGAATTTGGTGAAGGCCGTTGCGGCAAGCTACCTGGGAATGGAGCCTGTTGAGGAATTGCTGATGTTCGGGCAGATGCCAAGCGTGCTGTTTTGCCGGGCCGTTCTTCAGCTGCCAACCTGGCAAGCTGCGTGGGACACCTCAACGCAGGTTCTGGACCTGCTGCTGGTAGGTCACAGCCACGGCGGCTTGATGGCGCACGACGTAGCCCAGAGGCTTGAGTCCACTGGCTTCGCGGTCAGGGGGGTCATGGCGCTGGACACCCTTCATGTACCCCGCTGGACTGGTGACGCAGAAATGGAGCCGAAGGCCTTGCTCAAGAACAGAGCTCCTGACCACTGGCAGCTCCTCTCACTGGAAGTCAACATGATGGCAATGAGAACAGCCGCGCCTCGGACGCAGTCTGGTTTGTTTTTTTCTGTTTTTTGGGGTTTTCGGTTGTGGATGGGTATGTCGTAAGATGGCCCAAGTTACGAGGTGCTGCCAGTCAAGCGGAATTTCATGGACAAGGCTGAAGCATTTGCGTGCGGAGCTGTGTTCCTGCCCAAGCACCTCAACGACACCGACCACTTCGGCATTGAGGCAGACTGTGCGTGGGACCTCGCGTCTGTCTTATCGAGGATGCTGAGGCGGGGTCTGTCCTTCATGGGAATTTTGGCTCGCAGCATGGAACCCTTGGCAGGCAGACGTCACGAAAACGTTCACCGAGGACAAGGAAGCTGCAGCACGTCCGCGCTTCATGAACTTAAGCAGCGTCAGCATAGGAACCTGCGGCCAAACAAGGGCCTTTCCTTTCCCTGAACTTGACTTAAACTTACCTGTGCTGTTCAGGCGGCGGGATGTTCGGATATCTCCTGAACACCCAAGGACGAAGACAGGCTCTACACCCTCGAAGCCTAGAGCCCTGAAGCCCAATGAGCCGTGAAGCCCTGAAACCGCCAGAGCTGTTCATTCGCCAAACCCCCCCCCCCCCCGCACACGTGCTAACACGTGCAGACGGGGGAACCGAAGCCCCCCTTTCACGCCCTCAAAGCCCCAAGCTAAGTCTGAACTTGGGAGTGCTGTCCGGGCGTTCAGTGGGAGTTTCGAGGAACACCTAAACCCAAGCGTGAACCAACGACCCTAGACCCGAAATGCTGAACCCTTTTCAACCCTACACCCGAAAAGCCTATAAGGTCCAAGTGAATCTATGGTTTAGGGTTTGCGGTTTCGGGCTTAGGGACTAGCCCAACAGCAGCCCTAGACCAAATTCCCCCCCCCCCCCCCCCCCCCAACTCAACCCTCAACCCTCAACCCTCAACCCGAAACCCTAAAACCTAAAAGCCTACAACCCCAAAACCCAAAAACCGCGAAGCCCGAAAACCGCGAAGCCCAAAGCGAAGGTCTCAGATGCGCGGAGGAAGGGCTTGCCGCGGCCTCGGAGCCCCTGAGCTCTCAACGCAATTCGACTCTTGGGTTTAGGGGTTGGGGCTGAGGGTTTAGGGTTTAGGGTTTAGGGTTTAGGGCTTAGGGTTTAGGGTTTAGGGTTTAGGGCTTAGGGCTTAGGATTTAGGGTTTAGGCAAACGCGTCAACACCTGCAGGCCTAAGCGCTCGCAGAGTTTTAAGAGCCTGAGGCCTGGCAGCAAGCCAGGGTCACTTCTTTGCAGCAGCGACGGTGTGAGAAAACAGGCCCTCCGAACCCTAAAAGCCTAAAAGCCCACACGCCCCTCTAAAAGCCCTCAACCATAAGCCTTACAAAAACCACCCGAATTACTAACAAAAGACACCACACACCCACCAGGAAACCCGACTGAAAGATAGCGGAGACCCCAAGCGCCTGCGGGCTGCATTTGCTTTTCTTGAACCTCCGCAATCGGCACCCAAGGGTTTGGTTTAGGGTTTAGGGTTTAGGGTTTAGGGTTTAGGGGTTTAGGGGTTTAGGGGTTTAGGGGTTTAGGGTTTAGGGTTTAGGGTTTAGGGTTTAGGGGTTTAGGGTTTAGCAAGTCAACGAGTCGAATCGTAGCGGAGTCGAATCGTAGCGGCCCCGGGGTCTCTCTCCATGTTCCCGGAATGGTCCGTGTGCGCCGGGCCCGCGGAGCTCCAAGCGCCGGACAGGCGCCGCGGGACGTCGCAGCATTCTGGGCACGCGGTTTAGGGTTTAGGGTTTAGGGTTTAGGGTTTGGGGTTTAGGGTTTAGGGTGTAGGGTTTAGGGTGTAGGGTTTAGGGTTTAGGGTTTAGGGGGGTGTAGCAGGGGTTCTTAGGGTTCTTGGATTCCCAGTGCCTACAATCGCCTCGAGCCCTTGACCCGAAAAGTCCAAAACCCTTTACCAAACCTTTCTACCCCCAAACCTTCCAGACAAGCCCCTGAGACCCGCAAATCCGTGAAGAACCCTAAGCCCTAAGCCCTAAGCCCTAAGCCCTAAGCCCTAAGCCCTAAACCCTAAACCCCAAACCCCAAACCCTAAACAGGCCTTGAAGAACCCCAAAACGCTGCGCCCCAAGCTGCGAGTGGGCCGCAAAAGCTCTCTTCGATCCTGGCTTTTGGGGTTTTAGGGGTTTGGGTTTCGGGTTGAGGGGTTTTAGGGGCTTGGTGGGTGTTTAGGGGTTTGGGTTTCGGGTTGAGGGGTTTTAGGGGCTTTAGGGTGTTTAGGGTGCTTAGGGGGCTTTGGGGTGTTTACAGGCTTTCAGGCTTCTTAAGGGTTTAAGCTTCATTCATCCTTCCCCAAAATTTCGTGCTGTGATCTGAAGCTAACGTATGATCTGGATCTTGGAAGTTTCACAGCTCGAGGGCTTCAGGGGCTTTAGGGTCTTGGGTTTGAATCTTCTATGGGCTCTATGTTTCGGAGTTGAGGGGTTTTGAATTCGAAGTTAAAAAAACCCTAAACCCTAAACCCTAAACCCGGAACCCTAAACCCGAAACCCCAAACCCTAAACCCTTGTAGGGTCTTGGGGTTTCAAAAATTTGGGCTCAGGGTGGAGCTCAGTTGGCACCGATTGGACATGGAGAAGCCCGGAAGTCACCGCGGGGGTTTCTGAACATGGGGTTTAGGGTTTAGGGTTTGGGGTTTAGGGTTTAGGGTTTAGGGTTTATGGTTTATGGTTGAGGGTTGAGGGTTTGGGGTACGTTTGTTCTTAAGGGTAATTCAATCTTATCCAAGAATATTATTCTCTTGTAATTGTCATGAGTTGACTATTTTGAATTGATTGAATATTTTGTACGGCACATATGTTATATATATATATATTTATATTTATCATTGATTAATGGAACAGAACACAGTTTACAAGGAAGTATATTTCCAATCTTCTACTTTAGTAAGGATATAGGACTTTCGGTATAGTAAAGGGTAGCCGTGTGTTTGGACATGCCCACATTACCTGAAGGCCCTCATGCCTCCGAAACCTAACCCTAAACCCTAAACCCTGAACCCTCATCCCAAAGCCCTAAACCCTGAACCCTTAAACCCTAAACCCTCATCCCTAAACCCTAAACCCTGAACCCTTAAACCCTAAACCCTAGCCCGAAAACCCAAACCCTAAAAACGCGAAAGCCACCCTCCAGGTGCTTCTGCCCGCATGCGTCTGGCGACCGCGCGAAGCACCCGCCGCAGAGTTGAATTTAAGGAACCCAAAGGCAGTGACCATTTGTTTTGGGGGGTTTGGAGGGTTTTGGGGTTTGGAGTCTAGGGTTTGGGGGGGAGGGTTTCGGGTTTGGGGTTTTGGGTTTAGGGCTTAGGATTTCTAGGGTTCAGGGTCTCCAGGTCTGTGGGGAGGGCTTCGGGTTTGGGGGGCTTAGGGTCTAAGGACGGAGGGGGTCGACAACACGTAAAATCAGGCGCACCTGGGTTTTACTGCAGGGCCTTTCTTCCATCAGGGTTCATGTTGGCTGCTTTTTGTTTACTGGTTTGTGAGGAGGTGGGGGCAGCCGAACCAGAAACCACGACAAACCACTGGCGCGTGAGGGCTTTTTTCTCCTGAGGACGCAGTATGGCCAGCTTGAACCACCTCGGTGGGTTCATGGGTACACCTAATTCCAAATTATGAGTCTACTTCTGTCCTACTTGGGGGACTTTGGGGGGTCATAAGAACAGTTTAATTGGGGTAGAAAGTGCCCCGAACCTCCAAGTAGAATACGCCATGCGTGATGTGTCTGCCAGCTTGGCAGGAACTCGAAGGGTTAGGGCGTTTAGGGTTTAGGGCGTTTAGGGTTTAGGGCGTTTAGGGTTTAGGGTTTAGGGTTTAGGGTTTAGGGTTTAGGGGCCCTCACCCGTTTCCGCTGCTTCGGAACATGACGTGTAAAAAACAAAAGACCCGACAACTAAAACTGCATCCAGTTGCACGTGGTACAAGCAGCAGGTTGTGTTCGCTGCCGGTAGCGATGTTTGTGTGTTGACAGTGCAGTTGACTGTTTAGTCAGATCTAGGTCGCCTGACTCATAGTAACTTATAACCCGGCCTGCAGACCCTGGCCCAGATACTTCAAGGTTGCTAGTTAGATCTACTCATGGCCGAAACCCCAAACCCCAAACCCTAAACCCTAAACCCTAAACCCTAAACCCTAAACCCTAAACCCTAAACCCTAAACCCTAAACCCAGGATTCAGCAGCCTCGACGGCTCGCGCGCTCTGCGGCGGTCTTGGCCGTGCCTTGGCCCAGTTTGGGGTTAGCAGGGTTTAGGGTTAGGGTTTAGGGTTTGTAGGGTTTAGGGTTTAGGATTTGTATGGTGTCGGTTGGGGGTTTGGGGTTTCTGGTTGGTAGGGTTTGGGGGTTAAAACAGGGAGTGGTCGAAGAGGATCTCATGTAAGAATATCCCAACCCTAAACCCTGAACCCTTGACCTTTCCAGTGCCAGCTTTGCTTGAAGTGGCTCTTATGGCATTTGCTGTCCCGAAGCCGTAAACGCCTTAGAGTTTGGGATGTTCCCCCTTATAGGGACTATAATAAGGGGTACTATAATCCCCATTAAGGACTCCTAAACCCAAAACCCCAAAACCCCAAAACCCCAAAACCCCAAAACCCCAAAACCCCAAACCCCAAACCCCAAACCCCAAACCCCAAACCCCAAACCCTCAAACCCTCAAACCCTCAACCCCAAACCCCAAACCCCACACCCCAAACCCCAAACCCCAAGCCCCAAACCCCAAACCCTAAACCCCAAACCCTAAACCCTAAACCCTAAACCCTAAACCCTAAACCCTAAACCCTTCGCTGTGTAGAAGTTTCCGCCACTGCCAGGCCGGGCTGCTGCGCGGCGCCGGCCCTGTCAGGACTCTTGGCACTGAGGGCCTCGAAGCCCTGGACATATTGGTTCGGGGTTTAGGGTTTAGGGTTTAGGGTTTAGGGTTTAGGGTTTAGGGCTTAGGGTTTAGGGTTTGGGGTTTGGGGTTTCGGGCGGTGTGATGCAAAATTGTGTGCCTTGCCTTGCCACAGCTGCACATGTCGGCCGAGGCTATAATGGAGACACTCCCTTAAGGTGCATGACGTAGATTACTTGGAGGTTCATGGTACTTAGTAACCCAATTATCACTGTACTTATAACCCAATTATAACCCTATTGTGGTACTTTAGGGTTGTAGCTACACTTATAATTGGGGTATAAGTACCCTGAACCTCCACGTATCTCATTAAAGCTGAAGCTGCAAGTTTCATTGCGAGCCTTGCAACAGAAGGCCCATGGCTTGGGATGTTCCCCCTTATACTAATAACAGTCCTCTACGTATAAGGGGGAACATCCCAACCCATGGCCGCTAACCTCGTGCCCTAACTGTTGAAACCAACAACATGGATGCCACCAACATAGATGTTGTCACTTCGAGTAGGGTACATATGACCGTGCCTGCCAGACCCTTGGGAGGATCCAAAGAGTCGATCTTTTGAAGGGTTACTAAAAATTACCCAATAGTAGTTTGGGGTGCTATTTG